TGTGACATTTTTGCTTTTCTTTTTGCTTACCCCTGTTCAAAAAATAGAATTAAATCTTGGCATAACCCACACCTGTCAGTCAATTCCAGCAACTGGTTGAGACTGGCAGGAGGCTTTGACTTTCGCTAATCGTGCAGAGATAGATTACCATCAAATAGTTGGCAAAAATAAGTAGTAATTGCAAAATGTCTCAGGTTGTCAGCAAATACACCCTCTGAAATGCCCTCTATCAAATTGTTACTCCCTCTGTAAGCCCAACAAGCCTAAATCAAATCTCAGTGCCTGCTGCAATATGCAGAATACGTGACTGCAGCGTTTCCTAGAATTACCCCGTCACTCGACACTAGAGAGCAGTCTTTTCCCAGCATATTAAGAATGGCACAGTGCTTTTTCCCCTCTACTTTCTGAAGGAAGAGAAAATTGACCTGTATTCTAAGTCAGCACACTTCACAGAGCTAAAAAATTCGGATGTCTGATCAGACTGAATTGAACCATAACTCTGCTAGATAACATAATCATGGCATTTCTTATGGATACCAGCTGTTGACAGCTTGCACCCAGCCTCCAGTCACACATTTTTATTGCAGACTTTATCTTCTCATCTGGGTTATTTGTATTACTGCAGCACTAAAAAGAAAGAAAAGATGCGGCTCCAAAGGGAACTTGAAATTGGTAAGAAAATGCTCACGCCTGTTTACAGCCTGCAACCTCAGTTTAAAAGGGTTAAATAATATAGTGAATTTACAGCAATGCTGGGAATTAGACAAAAATGTCTAGCTTTTTTCAATACTGTCTGTGTTAAGCACACTTAGCTTAGGCGATGCGCTGAATTAAAAGCACTGGAATCTGAAATTCCTTTCCCACCCCTTATCTCTTTATCTATTCACCAAAACTGGCAGATTCATAAGGTTTCTTCCATAACCCCCACCTCTGCTTGGACACATCTCTGACAAGGCCTTTTGTAAGGGTGAGGTAGACTGTTGTGTTGTACTTCTGCAGGGATGGCAGAAAAGGATAACAATTAGTGCTGCCCATAACAGCAAGTCTGTGACACACAAAACCTGTCTCCTGAGCAATGCAGCGTGGTTTTCAGCTCATCTGCTGGAGCCCTGAGTTACCAGGATGAAACACAACCAGTTCCACTGCTAAAAATCTGCTGGCAGCTTCATTGCATTTAGCATAACTTTAGTAGATATCATTCAGTTCAAGATATAACTTGAAAAGGCACAGAAGAGAGACGTGTCCTTACTTGTCATAACAAAGAGGTGTTCTATCCCCAGGTAATGATATTTTTTATATATCTGATATGAGATCCCACTGAACTAAGATGTATAAATGTACACTACAGCTATACACATGTATTCAAAGCTATACTTTCTACAATGCTTTGCACTTTAGCACTTAAAGAAAATCCCAGTGTTGATAAGAACACTTTCAAATCATGATCATTGTACACAATTCATCACCATGACCATGAGATAACCTACATTCAAGGCAGCAGCAAAAACAGAAGCAAAGACTTTCAATAACAACACCATAGTCTTTTACTTCAGTTCAAAGTGGATTATCAGATACAGACTTATAAGGGCTATCACTCTCTTTGGGGTTAGACAACAATAGTAGTTCCTTGGACCTCTGCCCTCACATCACCTCATTATTTTTATTTGTTCTCTTGCTCTGAATTGTTCAGTACAGGGCAGTGTGTTTTTGCTGAGTGCCTCTATGTTACCAGGCACAGGAGCCTCGGGGGGCCCACATACAGCTGCCATACAAATCCATAACTGCTGTTTGATAAAAGGAAGTTGTTGGCTAGACCTACTCCACAAGCTCCCTATGACACATTGCAGGTTAACCTGTACTGAAGCAAGACTTTTTACTCATGTATTCACTCAAAAAACCCCACATGAACATCACTTCATCAAGAGCAGCCAAGTTATACAGAAAGGCCAGATTCTGCCTATTGGTAAAGATATATGATAAACCACATAGGATTCATTATAAACTGTGCTTGATGCCTTGTTTGCCAATATCAGCTCAGCTCAAACAAGTAACATCTTTAGAAGCTTATCTCTTGGAAATAAATACAGCTAGTCTCTATACTTTGTCATCCAGCTCCTTTCTTCTCTGGAAGACAATTCCTGCTAAACCAATCTCACTCCAGGGTAGCATCAGATGGAAAGAAAGGGTGGAACCAGAAACCAGCCCCAGCAAGGTCCATACTCACAGCCAACCAGCCGAGCACATATGAAGATGCCAAAAAATCTGATGCAAAAGAAGTATTGGAGGTTGATAAATGAAGAGATGAAACACAAATACTGAAAGATATACTGATGGATGAAGAGTGGGGGAAGCCAAGACTAGAACCAAAGCATTCTAGGCAGCTTATAACTCTGCTCACATGACCTTTGATGCCTTCAATATTATTGAGCCAGGAATATTGGTAATATTTAACACTCATCCTTTTCTTACCTGAAATAGCTAAAAGAAAATATGTTGCATGTCCCAGTGAACAGCATTCTTCAGAATTCCCAACATCTTCCTGGTAGCAAAACTTCTGAAACCCAACTCAACCACATTTTTACTGTTCCAACATACAAAGAAACAGTAGACATTTCCTTCCTTCTAATTTGCATAATTTTAGTTCTACAGTAATTACTATATATGAGGAAATATTTACTACAGTGCAAATATGAAGAACTGTGGCTATTTGGCTTGAAATATGGAAACAGAAGATAAAAATGGGGTAAAAGGAAAAAAGAGAACATTAGGTTTAATAAAATAAGTTTTGTCTTGAGTATTCACTCATTGAAACAAGGATGTTAAACACCCAGATTAGTCAAGTTTCAAATTCAAATAAAAACTTTAAATTAATTCTACAATTGTAAAACATAAAGCACCCAACAAAGTTGATAAGAAATTACTCTGTAAGGACTGTAAGTCCTCTTGTGGCAAATGAAGATAGCAGAAATTAGTTGCTTGTTATTCAAGTGTTATGGAGTGGAATTTTTGGTTTAGTTTTTTTTAATGTAAACAAAAGAATTCACAAAGTTACTTTTGTCATTTTCTTTCTTTTCCTGTTCATCACATTTGGTGCTGGATAACAAAAACTCTGAACTGAAACATCACTAATTCCAAGTGCTATTTTTTTAAGTTACAATGGCATTTTAAAATATTTCGGCTTCTGCTGATCAAAAAAGACTGTACACAATAGTTTCTCCAATGAAAAATGCAGATTTGATTCAGCTAAAATATCCCACAAGAAATGTCTTTTTATACTTACAAGATTGAACCATGCCACTTTTTAAATTTATGTTATAAGAAAATGACCATAACAACCTTATCAAATATTCTGATAAGGATGAAACAATGTCTATTTCTTTTGGTAAACACTTATTTTGTTTTCATTCAGGATGAAACCACTAGACAGAAATATCACTTCTTAGCCAGCTACAACTTTGCTAAATTCTGCAGAATTCATGAGGAGTCTTACATTAATTAAAAAATAAGCTCTAGACCAGGTCAAAGAAACAGAAAAACCATGTTATGCGAATTGCAGTCTTTAAGCTCTTCTCCAGAGCTAAAGTTCCTCCAATATCTGTTCTTATCCAGGGCTATAAGGTGCAGGTCGCACTTCTCTAGTTCTGCTGTCAGTTCACTTCTACAATCAGCATAGGGACTGATGTTTCTTAAATGGGTGGGTTTTGCACCAAAAATATTACAGGCCAGATAATCACCAACAGATAAGATCCTGATCTTTCATTGACAGTATACTGAAATGGAATACCATGCAAGATCCAACAAGCAATATTTAAATTCCTGTGCTGAATTTTTCTTTTCCTTCTTCCATCCCTTTATATCATTCATTGCCCACATTCCCTTATTCCTAATTTGGTGTTGGTTTACTACTTTATAATACACGTAGACATCTCTTAACTTTGACCAGTTTTTGACACTGGATACACATGGAGAAGACCTTTACTGGTGGTTATGATAAGGTCTATCCAGCTGCGAAATCTGGCAGGACCCTTTCCTGCTTAATGAAGACAGTTTCTTTGCAGAGCCAGCATGAAAAGTATTCTACATCTCCCTTCCATCTAAAGACGGAAAATGCCAAGATGAAGCTTTCAACCTAGGCTTCCTGAAGGCAAGGAAAACTGTACTTGCATTTGGGGTTTTATAACCCCTTTAATTTTCAGCCTGAACGCAAGGTCTGATGAGAGCCCTTAAATACCTTCCACAGGTCTCCTAAAGCTCAGGCTACTGTCCTGAACCTTCCTGTTCATTGGAAAGGAGCGCTAAGGTCCATGTCACAAACAACCCTCAAGTCCCCAGTGACATTGAGGTTGAGACAGGCGTTAGGAATTGTGAGCATGTCACTTGTGCTGTGGCTGCTTCAGTTGACCTGCAGTGTCAGTCCCCAAGGCAGAGTCAACTCTGAATACACCTGGTGTGACTTGATGTTGGAAAGATCAGCTGCAGGAATAAACTGCAGCATTACAGAACACTACCAGCTACAAGCATGTCCTGTATCCTGTGTTGCTTTTTTCTTCATGACTTGATATAAGATTATCAAAATCGTCAGAATGATGCCTTACATTACAAACTCTTTGCTTACTTTGCGGTGCACAATGCTAAGGACATGCGATAACTATTGGAGGATCTAGGCCCAAACATTAAATTTTTCTGCACAACGTTCAGATTCATTTCAGTAGTCTTTAGGACCTTTGTCACTGTAGGTTCTTTCAGTAGATAGAAAAGAAAAATATATATGTGCAGAAAGTTATTCAGTCCTCCTTACACCTGAATGGAGATCTTGTCTTGCTCCATCAGCTGGGAAAAGCCTGGAGAGACTTTCCTCATAGTTTAGTGCCTCATAGTACCTAGACTCATATGAGCTCTCAACCTGATGTCATAATCTCAGTAGAGTTAAAAGCATCAGTCACTGTTCTGCACACAGCTCATGTTAATCCATCAGTATCTGAAATCTGTACACCAGGGCAACAACACAGCAGTAAAAAAGATGTCATCTTATCAGATGAAAAGGAACACAGGCCAACCAGACACCATTTATAGAGACTAAGCTTCAGAAGTGACAACTGAAGCCAAGACTCCTGGGGGAGGGAATGTTGGTTTGTCCTATAATTAAATTCACCCTCCCTTTGCCAAGCTCCCTAATCCTGTTTTGAGAGGGAGTCATTCTCTGACAGGGAAAATAATATATATGGAATCAAACAACTTGCTTCAGGCGGAGCAGAGCAGGAGGGAAGGGTGAGAAGCACACTCTTCAAATAGTTTCCACTCCTGCTTTCAGCTCACTGACCTCAAGCTGTTGCAACGTGAACTGCACGACAGCCTGCAAGGACCTGCTCTGCCAAAGAACCATCCTGCCACGGCCTCCTGGCTGCCAGGCTGGTTTCCAGTGAGGAACACCTCAAGGTAGGAGGAAATGGGACAGCCTGACAGTTTAGATGCTCAGTTCTTTCACCCAAAATAGCCACATCCTTCTCAAGAAAAAAAAAAAAAAAAGAGGACATGAGGGCCTTCAATATAATCGTGTAACCAAGGCCCCTGAAGCCCATAAAGGTTTTCAGAAGTCTCAGGATTAGGCTTTAAGACTGAACACCTATTCCCAGTCTTTCTTGCCCCTTACTTCCTTTGTGGTTTTGAGGAGTCTTGTCTCTGTTGCATGGATGTATCACAGGATGGATAGAATTTCTATACCCTGAAGAGTTGATAACAACAGAGATATTCTGAATCCTGTTGTGATTCGCTGGTCAGGGAAACACAGGGACGCTTACAACATGCCAGCTTTCCTGCTAAGCCAAATTTAAATAATAAAAATAAAAAATAGACACAACCCAAAACTCGGGTTCAGAACTTTCTCCTTTAGAGGTGAGCACATGTACAGTCTTGGTTTTGGCCACTATTTCTGTTAAAGTCTGTCATTGCTGGAAAAATACAAAATATAAGATAATGCATCTGTTAAAACGGGATTAAATGGTTCCCCTGCCTTGCTCAAAGGAAAGCTTCAATAGGGATTCCTGTCTGACACTCATTCAAACATTGACCATTAGCTGTTTCCAACCAATTTTATGAAAATGTAACAACTTATACTGAAATTCTACTGCAGGAAATCTTCCTCTAGCAACACCTTGCTGAACTGAGGACCACTGGAGTTTTTCCTTCTGTCAAAATAGTTTGAGGGTCTTTTTGAGATGGCTAAAGTATGCCTGTCTACTGTTTAAGAGTTAAACATTTTCAAGCCCGTCAGATGACTTGGACAATGAGGCAAAGGCAGAAAGACCCAATTTGGAACTTCTTTGCAATATTAACCATCTAACATGAAAACAAGTTGAGTCCTTGCTTCATGCATGAGTTGTTGTCACCGGTGTTTATTGCATAACATTTAGTTGTTTAAGAGTTATTTGGCACTTTTCCAATACAACTGACAGCTAAATAATATATAATCTGTTTTTCAGCAAAGCAATTACTGAGTAAACCTGAACACACCAAAGGAGTAAACGACAGGTTACAACACCTAGAACAAGATGCCACACCTGAAAAAGCTAATATTACCAGAATAACTATTATCTGTAATCACCAGAATATGCTGAAATTATTGCTTTATTTAGTGGAAGATTAAGCCACCTGCTCTTAAAAGTACATGCTAAGTACTTGTTTACTGCTCTTCCCCCCTCCTCGAACACACTTAAGAGATTCCATAATTATCCTAGCAGCACATTGCTGGAAATGATGTGTGAACCTCAAGTTTCAGGACCAGACTGTTCATAGAAACAAAGTCCTCTTAATCAAGCTACTCATTCCCCTCAAAAAGCAACACAGAGAATCTAATCTTATGTCAGAGCTCATAATTAGAGTTGTGCAAATACTAGATTTTCAGAAAAATAAAGGAAGATAATCTAAACTGCTATGTGTTCCATCTTTACATTGAAATGAACCCTCTGATTCCTCACTCTTAGCAAAATATTTTTTAGGGTCAAGCAATGCATTACAGTTGAGACAAAAATCAGAACTTCACAACCTGTCCAGTTAGATTAATAGAAGCTTAAAATTGGAAATAATTAAAGCATTTCTATTTTCTCCCACATTTGATTAAAAAAATTTAAACATTTCAATTAATCTAATCCATATATTCTGGAGGAAATGTATTTTTTAAGTACTTTCTCACCACTAAATAGGAAATTTGTTACTTGTTCCTACTATCATACACTACAATTCTTATTGTAAGTGTGATAAAGAATTAAAGCCACCAAGGCTTTTCTTTAAGCTACCCTCTCTGCTTTGAATTTCACAGTAGCAATACTGAGTAATCATCATCAATGGATCGCCCTAATCAGAGGCGTTCATTTAGAAACAAAGTGTGATGATAATAACCACAGCAACAAACTGCAGATGGAGAAGGCACAAATTACCACTTCCCTTCATCCTGTATCTCAGTTCAATGCTTGTGATAATGTTGCATCCATCATTAAGCTGTAGGAGAGCCCAGAACATCATAAGACAATGAAGATGATAACAGAGCAGTTTGAACATACTGTATGGCCTTATTAAAAGGCAGTCCAGTTTCATTGAAGAATTATTATATACTGTAAGATTTTCCTGAAAATCATTATATCTGCTCTGAAAATCATTATATCTTAAAGCAATTAAATGCATTTGTGCAGTCTTCAAAAACAAGATAATCTATCATCTCATCCACAAAATAAGTATCTGGAATAAATGTGATATTTGAAAAGGAACTGAACCAAAACCAGATCCCATCATCTAAGCAGTCTGGAAGAGTTTTGACCCAGTTATGCACTTCCCAGCAAGCATCTTCCTCTCTAGTAAACCAGACTGAGGGTATGTCTTTGCAGACAGATACGAACAAGCCTCACCTTTGCCGCAAGCAGCTTCCCCACTATTCTTCTGACACAAGCAGGATGCAGTGCCAATGGCAACACCTTGCCCTTCAGCAGCTCCCATCTCCACACTGTGAGCACTGTAATAGCCGTGGCAGCACAGCTTCTGATCCAAGAATTGTGCACACATGGCTACACCACTTAAGTACCTGTTTACACATTGTCTTCAGTCCTGCCTTAACACTCCTCTGCCAAACACCTCTGTCTTTGCAAGAAGTCCCATCTTAAATCCAGACTTGGCTCTCAGCTCCAGCCCATTCCTGAGCCGAGTGCAGCACACACACAGGACACACGTGCATACACTGGCCCTAATCCTGCACTCACTCCTACACACTACTCCCACTGAAGTTAGTTGTTATCCCTCATCCAGGAAAGGTGGTTAGGACACACAAGTATTTTTTTCCCCCCCAATGTTGACAGTGCTGGCAACCTTATTTCTAGGTTGCCGCTGTTTAATTGCACATCTTCATCCTCTACTCACTGCAAGCATGAGCAACAATAGAGTTCATGAAATTATTTGCTTTTAATTCTCTGCTCTTGTGGACAATTTTTCTATTCTCAGGTGGCACTTAACATCCCATTTTTATTTAAGCACCCTCTAGGGCTGCACAAGCTGCCATTATTGGGGACTGAAGGAATCCCTTCTCCCTCTGACCTCTTATTAACCACTTCCTATTTACTTGGATGCATTTACAACACTTACTAATGCTGGATATTACCAAAATTATAAGCAATAAGCATCAGTGCAGACCATTTGATTCAGGCTCTGTAGACTGCCACAAGATGACTGTAACCAAATTTTATTGTATGTATTAGTTATTGTATGCATTGATGTATATTTTTATTGTATGTGAGAATGCTTTATTTTATGTACTAAAGCAAGTATTAATTTAGACAGGCTTTAAAACATGCAAATAAGTCTATATTAACCCAAATATATTTATCTGGATGGAAATGCTGATCTTCCCCATGACCAAATTTCTGAATGTCACGTACAAGCAGGTATAATCAAAACTTTTCAGGCTTTGTTGGAGCAAGGTTTTGTCAAAACTACCAAAATCAAAAGGTTCACATACCCACATTTCTATGCAAGTCAGCAGGACCGCTAAGAGAGTTTTCATAAACTTCTAGCAGCACATCAAAAACCACTTTTTGAGAATATTCCTTTTGGAATAATCCCCATCTTACTGCGGTCTTCACAGTCCAAGAGGGAACAGTAGATGGTGCTGTTTGATGTTGTCTTCTCCCCTCACACTTTTTTATCAATGGAATTATCACGTTGTTCTTAATGCATTTTTACAACATGGATTAGAGAAACTTAATATTAGGACCTTACAGCTACATCACCACGTTTAACAATTATGAAATATTTATTCTATAATGATATTTCTTTATTGCTTTCCAGACTTCATTTCAAGGCATATTTCTTGAAATTTGTTACCTCCTCGGAAAGTGAGAGTGGTCATTTTTACTGGTCAGAAGGTCATTATCAAATGCATGATAGAACCAATCTTTGTCATAACTTGTCATGAGAATTCTCCCAAATCCTCCCAAAACTAGTTAATTGCAGGGGAAGCAGGGGGCAGCTGGAGTCATAGAAAAGACCACAAAAAACAATTAACAGACATTTCAAGATTTTTCATCAATTTGCAAAACTCTGAGTACATGAGCCCTGCAGAAAGCTAAATTAGTTATAAGTTTAAACCTGACAAGTGGATTGCTTGTTCGACCAAGAAAAAACAGACTTAAACAGATTTTAATGATGTTGGTTTCAACAAGTTAACATATAATTTATAACCCAGTATCACAGTTTTTCTTCCTGTTGTTAAAAATACAGCTCCAATCTCTTGGCTGCAAGACACCTTTCTGTCACTCTCCCTTGACTGACTTGCTCAACATCACATTCGAGCTTCTTGCCTTCACTTTGAAGTCCTTCACAGAAATAACCTTCTGCTGCCACTTCTATTTATAACTAATTCTGTGAACTTAATGATTCACCACTTATGTTAAGCTTAATGGATATGTCTGTTTATGCCCCCATCTACTCTACACTTTCCTCTGCACTGTCTACAGGATCCCACACATCTGTAAAACACCACTTCAATCTCTTATACATTTTCAATTGTCTCTCCCTGAATTATAGGGCTTGGCAAATAAATAAAGTGCAGCTGAAATGCGTCTTCTAAAACTGAGGATATTTGTATTTCTATAATATTTACACAAAAACACAACAAGATCAAGACACACACGTGCAGTAATATTCAAAGACATTTTAACACTTCAGAAGGACCATTCGGTTGCATGCACAGAAGTTTTACAGGACTGACTGCACAATTTGAACACCCCTGCATATTGTGTGCTACTCATGCTTCTAAAGCACAACAGCAGCTCAAATCACCAAAAGCAGCTTAGAATGTTTAGATGCAAGATTTCTTTGCATGTCAATGCAGAAAACAGAAGTGCCTAACAGAAAGTTTGTATGGTCAAATAAACAAATCAACAATATTGTACAAGGCAACAAGCAAACAGGAACTAAGTCTTGCATGCAACTTGTTCCAAAGCACAGCAAGGTTTTGTTTTCAAAATATGTTTTTTTTCCACAAACAAATATTTCATGTTTTACTTTCCTATCCAAGAAAATGGACGTTTGTCAGCCTCCCCCCACCACTGCTTTCCTTCTCTCTGTCACTATTCAGAACTTGTCAGCAGCAAAGGCATTTGGAAGCGTTAGTGTCAGACCAAGGCAAACAACCCCACTCCTTTCCTTCAGTGTGGGGAAAGGAGACACTCAGAGAATAAGATCACCCCACCTCCCAGTCTTCTAGCTGCATTTAGAGACTGGCAAATTTTCAAAACCTGGGAATAGCTTTTGCAAAAGTCTTCCAGACTGAGAAAAACAGGAGCAACATTGCTGCTGGAGGCAGCAGCCTTCCCACTACTGCAAATGCTGTCTCAAACAGGTACCAAACACAGGTACCCAGCAGCTGAGGTGAGGGTCCCCTGCAGGGACTCCCCATAACCTGCATAGCCTCAGCCTACAAGTGGCATGAAGGGCCTGGCACAGCCTCAGCACAGTGAGAAACAAGCAGCAAAAACAATGTCAGCTTTTAGAACACTGCTGTCAGAAACCTCCTCCATCCCTCTCTCTACAACAGAGGAGGAATAGTGGTCTGCCAGCAAAAAGGGAAGGACCACCCTATTTGTCTCAGTTTGTGATGTGAAACAAGACATGTTAATTCCTGCACTCACATGAAACATTTGATATGAACCTTGCCTGGCTTCAGAGAAATTTTCTTGTAGCAGAGTCTTAGACTTAATTCCATAAACAGAAACAGCAAGAAGGGCAGGAGGAGCCGCAGTGTAAGAAAAGGAGCAAACTGGACAAGGGAATCCTTGTGACTAGCTGCCTGAAGGACCAGGGTGGTTGCCATGTAGGTACAGCATAACCACCAAGCCATGTCCCTGCCAGCCCCTCAAAACCTCAGCTGAGAGCAACTCCTGATCCTCCTGCACCATCAGCATTTAATAGCTCTAGTCTTTTTAAAACAACATTTTTCCCCTTGATCTTTTTCATCTAATTTATTGGAGAGAATATATTCGCCTTTTGAGACAGGGACACATTTCAACTCAC